AAATTGAACCCACACCTGTGATTTCCAGCCAAACAGAAGACAGGCATATGAGTTGAACATTTACCTGAGGTAGATACACTCCTTGGAGAGAACAATCATTGAGAAAGAAGGGCTGCCTATGCACAGGGAGACAGCTCAGGGGGTAGGAGTGCATGGAGGGATGGACACAGGGAAGAGGTAGCTATTTGGAGGAAGTGGGAGGGGAGCTGTTGCATTGTGGTAAACTGTGGTCAATGTCATGAGACAAAGTATATGTAAACTGCTATATGGAAAGTGATTTGCTCTGTAAATATTCACCCAAATCACAATAAAAAATAAATTAATTAATTAAAAAAAAAGGAACTAGGAAAAGAAGACCAGATTAAAAAAAGAAAGAAAGAAAGCTAAAGACCTAGGACAAGTGAGAATATTTATTTTGGTTTGATTAACCATGAGCTTCTCCTTCTGGAGACCAGACATTCAGCTGAGTGTGCCCACTGTAGGAGACATCATGTCTCAGTAATATTTATGAATAGAGGACCACTCAAGACAAGTGAAATTCCAGTATAAGTGATTAAGCATAACAGCTGGGACTAGGTCTGATAAGGCTCAAAGCTGAGTTCATTCTACTCCTGAACAGTTATTAATCTTTATATTGTCCCCCAATAGCCCACCATGTACTTTAAAATTTAGTAATAACTTGATAAAACAGGGGTGCTAGGAATATTGGAAACCACGAACATTGCACTTGAAGATATCATAAAGTAACTGATCTGTTATATTAACTGATGCCTGGGGAAAAGATTCTGACATCACCAGTTAGAAAACAGGTTTGCAGACCAACCCTGAAGTGATGGCTGCTGAAGTTTAATTGTGCACACATTAAATCCCAGTACTATCAGAATATTCACATCAGTAGTACATTACTAAGATTGAGGAAAGAGTTTTTGGGAGAAGGAAACGGAGATCAGTGTAGCTCAATTTTAAGCTGTACTCTCAAGTTTCAAAATGAAGAGAAAAGGGAT